ACAGTTAGGGCTGCCAGGCTCTGGAATGGACTCCCAAGGGAGGTGGTGCTCTCTTCTACCTTGGAGGTCTTCAAGAGGAGGCTGGACAGATATTTGGCTGGGATATTATGACCCTGGCACTCATTCCTGCGAGGGGCAGGGGGTTGGACCTGATGATCTGCTTAAGTCCCTTCCGACCCTAAGCACTATGATACTACGAAACCCTGGAACCAAGCCTGGAATCAAGAGTGCTGAGATGGGAAGAAGGAATATGGGCATTTGAATAAGATTTTGCAGCTTAAACCCCTTTTTGTCTCTGATACCAAAGGCTCTGTTCAGCATATTGATGCCTTCATAGCTGTGGACACTACCTCTTGTTTGGAGAGAGGGTTCTTCCCAAGCAAAACCAGCTCCTGTTTTACATAGCCACTCACACCCACCTCTTTCATAGAGCCATCTGAGCATCACGCACACTTGGAAGTGATGCTGGTTTCACCAGTATCTCAGCCACCAGTCTGCTGCCACCTGCTACTCTGCCTCCCAGATAAAGTAACATGAAGGGAGATGGACTTTTAATAAATGATGATAAGGTAAATGTGCCAAGTTATTATTGGTTGGCATGTATTTCATACAGCTGAAAACAATTTCTGGTTTGTGCTACTGCCATTCCTGAATTCCAAGAAGGAAGGGGTCAGGAGGCCTCTTGCTCTGATTCTGGGATTGACAGTGCACTGTTATGAGCTCCATATCAACAAAATGCATTTTGTGTCAATATTGACAGGGCACCATTTAAAGCAAACAAACCCCAAGCAAGAGGAGTTGACTGTTGAGCCCTGGGATCACATTCTTGGCTTTTGGATGTTGTGGAACCTTTCTGCTCTGGCACTAAATCCAAGGGTGGAATTCCTGCAGAATTACGTATTAAATCCACAGGAATAAAAAAAGAGGTCACTCTGAAGGCTGTTGTTATACTGAATACCAAAGGAATTAAGACCAGTTGGCTATTGGGAATAAAGCTTTGTCATTTGGATAAATATTTGGTTTGAGCTGCTAAATAGAGAATACATGTCTTCTAGTTTCGTTCACAGCCCTTATAAACCAAAAAAATGCACTTGGCCTTTTAAGTGTGGAGGAATTAAGACCTTGGGTTTAAATTCTGATCTCACTTAAGAGTGGTGGGAATAGGGAATAACAGGTGTGAGGTCTGAAGCAGGGTTAGGGTTAGGTTATTTCTAAAGTGATGATGGGCTTACACTGAAAAGGCTTATGTGAGCTAGGGGCTAAAACTAGACTTTGTCAGGTCTCAGTTGCATGCAGTTTCACAGGACTGAATCAAGCTCAATATAGACATTTAGGTGCAGATCTGTTTTCCCCCAGGTTTGGGGGGCAAGAAACAGGAACTGGATTGCTGCCTTTGACCCATTTCTAGTGTGAAACATACTTATTTAGAAGAAAACTCTCAACATAATTTAAATTCCAGGGAGAATTCTGAGTTGTGCCAGCAGAAGTTGTACCCACCCACATTGTAGGATGTTGCAGTTACATAAAATCACTCTCGGGGCTGCCCTCTAGCACACACGGCCTCCACCAAGGCAGCAGTTCTGATCCAGTTACAGAAAATAAGAATTCTTGCATACATCACTGCAGTACTGAGAAGCTGAGGTTATATCTGTGAAGTGCCTTGAGATCCTAGGATAACAGGTATTATGGAAAGGTGCTTTTTATGCATCATTAAGTGTGAAAATTCCATATTGGTGTAGTGCTTGTATGCAAAAGATGTCATGTTACCCAGAGGCAAACATTACAGCCTGTGACACTGCTCTTTTTATTGGGGTTTTGATGAAAAAATGAATAGTCATGGACTGTAAGGACAGAATAGACTATTAAGGTGATCACATATGTCTGTACTATATCTAGGTCTGTGACTACACCTTGTACAGACACATCTGAGAAAGCATTCAACTTGACAATTTAGCCACTGGCCACATGGGGTTCACTGTAGGCTGTAAAACCTGCCTGGGAGCCTTGTTAAAAATTCAGGTGACTAACTCCTGGCTGACCTCCAGCCTGCTCTGGCCATACCATTTGCAGCACCTGACGTATCTAATTTAAAGATAGTATCCACACAAGCGGTAGTCATACCTCCAGATTGCCATGTAGACAGACAACCTCTAGTCTGATCTCCTACACAAGAGACCACAGAATTTCACCAGCTGGTTGCTGCATCAACCAACTCTTTTTTATAATGGCATCCAATCTCCATTTAATCATTTCAAGTGATAGAGAATCTGCCCTGATAAGTTTTTCCAATTGTAATTACCCTCACTGTTAAAAATGTGTCTTATCTCTAGCCTGAATTTCTTTAGCTTTAGATTCTATCCATTGGATTTTGTTATACAAGATAAAAGAACCAACAACTTTCAGATTCCTTTTGCCCTCTTATAGACTGTGATTTAATCTTCTCTTGCACAAATGAATTGGACTGAGCTTTTTTCAATCTCTCATGACAAGGCATATTTTAAAGACCCTGAATCACTCTTTTGCCTCTTTTGTGAACACTTTCTGATTGTAACCAACTGTTCTGAACATAGACACTTTACCTGGAGGCAGCAATTCAGCAATGGTCTTCTTATGCCTCATATCAGAGCCAGCCTTAGGGAAAATGTCCCCCTGGGCAAACTTATATTTTGGCCCACACTCCCAGCATCCCCTTCGCAGCACCATCCCCAAGTCAGTGGCAGAGACAGGCAACCCAGGGTGCAGTCCAGTGGGGAGGTGGAACAGCATGGTGTGCCAGGCAGGTGGGTGGGCAGCAGTGGCACCGCTACTGCTGCCCACATTGCCTGGCCTGGCTCCTCCTGAGCAGCAGCTGGAGGCAGGAGGTGGGCTGGGCTGGGCTGGGCACCATTCTTCCTGCCTGGGGTGGGGATCAGCCAGGATGAGGCAGGGCAGGGGAAGATTGTTTCTGTGAGCATGGGCTGCTCACACGTGTGCACGCACATGTATGCGCATGTATGTGTGCATGTGCGGTGCCCTTCTGACCACAGCACCCTGGGCAGTCGCTCATGTTGCCCACCCCTAAGGCTGGCTCTGCCTCAGATATTCATTTAGCCACTTCCTGTCTGTCAGTCTCTTAATTCATGCTGACAAAACCTGAATGTACTGAAGCTGCAGTGTAATTATTTTGTAGAACATTTATTTTGCATAACATGTAGCATGTTCTGCTCCTGGCGAAGAACTATTATGGACTTATCAGGATAGGGAAGTTACTGCAGAATAAGCCAGGGTATGATTTGAAAGCTTAGTGGATATTCTCCCTTGTTTCCCTTGTTTCCATACAGTGTGCCTACAGCTGTTTACCTAATTCACTTCCAGAGCTACTCTGGACTTTATCCCAGTAGATGGAGCCTAATAAATGATATCTCACCTAAGTTAGCAAGATCCTTCTTAGAGCAGTGGGAATATCCAGAGACCCCCGTTCATCCTATCTTTGCAGGCATACCCATGAGTTCAGTACTAGAAACACAAACTCTATAAATATAGGACAGATTCCAGCTGGTATAAACCATGGTAGTTCTGTTGACTTTACTGGAGCTGTACAGAAATTCAGATATGGACCATTATTTTATTTTATTTCTTCAAGGTTTTGGATTCCCATCTAAAGGGTGAAACTGTAAATGATCTAAATAATAATTATAAAAAAATACAACACCAGAACTTACTCATAATTGCCTTTTTTGGCTGCTATGTGAAGAGGTAACAGCCCATCCTTATTAACTCTGTTAGCATCTGCACCTTGTGACAAGAGGAACTGCACGACCTTTTCATGTCCATTTTTACAAGCTTCATAAAGAGCAGAGGCCTTATCACTGGCTTGGGTATTGATATCAGCACCTAGAAACAAAGTAAACTTTTGTAGAACTAATGACCGGAATCAAATGCATCATTTGAGTGAACAGAACAAGTTGCTGTTATTTTATTTAGATTTCAGTCACAAAACCAACAGGAAGGTGAAGTGACTGCTCATATATTTCCTTTAGAACATTTGCTGCATATGGTAAGAAGGAGGATGGAGACAAGATAAAAGAATAGTTTATATTTTACACATTTATTTTGCTAACCAGTAAATATTCTCACCAGTGCTAAGGGAATAAATGTGATGGGATATTTTTTGCACTGGCCAGTCAAAAAAACCTCACCCTGTATAAAAACAATAACCATATTACCCACAGGACTATACCTACAATAGGTGCCTGCAGTTAGATTCTGATCATGAGCCTAAGGCCTTTCATCTACATCACAAGAACAATCGTATTTGAATGTGGTTGAGGACAAATTATTTTATCTTATGACATTTTCTTGCCTATGTGAACAGAAAAAAAAACATATTGGAGAAACATATATCAGCCCTTGCACACACAACCTAAAACATGTCCCTGTAACAAGGCAGTTAGATACTTCTGAGAAAATAACTTATTCTGAGAAGCTGTTGTTATTTTGGCATACCTTATTCCAAGTTTATTTCAATACCATATTTTCTCATGTAAAACATGCATATTTTTCCTCCAGACAAGCCCAAGGAAATTGGGGTGTGTAGTATATGCAAGAAATAGGGATCCCCAGGGGTCTGGAAATTTGGCAGCAGGGGAGCAGTGGCAGTGTTAATTGCCATGGTTCCCTGCTGCTAAATCTCCAGACCCCTGAGGAGACCCTAGTCAGATGACATGGCCACACATGCTAGGTTGGGTCAGTGCATGGAATCTGGCCATGGCTGGATCCAACTTATAGCTCCAGACCCAGTGCGCTGGATCAGACTCGTGCTTGGGGTCTGGCCCAGGCCCAGTCTGCCAGATTAGGTATTTACCCATATTGCAAGGTAAGTTTTTTTTTCTTTAAGATGTTTGTCAAAACAGGGGGTGTATTATATTCTAGAGCATGCTACATGCGGGAAAATGTGGTATTCCATCAGTCCTAAAGAATTTTTCTGCCTTCTTCAACTCTTTGTCTATGGTGTTAATAATTTTTTTCCAATTACTGGTAAATATTCAGCAAATTTATTAGTCAAGTTGTTCTGGTATACTTAACCAGCTCAGTTATAGCATGGTTAAACAGGCAAACCAGCCAGACCAAGCCATGCTATTACATTGTTGGATCACAACCAGGTTTAAATGTACCTACTTCTGAAGTAAAAATTTAGGACCTGAAAGTCCAAGTCAATTTCCAAACTTGGGTTTCCACTGTAATATATTGCATCATCCTGCTTTCAGACCTGCTGGTCTATGTGTATGCTAAATAAGAACTTCAACTCACTGGCCTTCTGCATCTAAATTCTGATAAGGAAAATGCCAATCAGTTTCTTTTCTGAAGAAAATATTCTCCTCTTGTCAAGGAAAATATTTCCCTAAGTTGAAACATTTAGCAAAGCTTTTGATACGGTCTCCCACAGCATTATTGCAGGCAAGCTAAGGAAGTACGGGCTGGATGAATGGACTCCAAGATGGACAGAAAACTGGCTGGAGCATTGGGCTCAGAGAGTACTGTAGTAATCAATGGCTCGATGTCTAGCTGGCAGCCAGTATCAAGTGGAGTGCCCCAGGGGTTGGTCCTGGGCTGGTTTTGTTTAATGTCTTCATCAATGACCTGGAAGATGGCACAGAGTGCACCCTCAGCAAGTTTCAGATGACACCAAGCTGTGGAGGAGTAGTAGATACTCTGGAGGGTAGGGCTAGGATTCAGTGACCGAGACAAATTGGAGGATTGGGCCAAAAGGAATCTCATGAGGCTCAACAAGGACAAGTACAAAGTCCTGAACTTAGGACAGAACAATCCCATGTACCAGTACAGGCTGGGGGTTGACTGGTAGGGGTGTGCAAAGTGGACTGTATTTGATTCGGATTCGGTCCAAATCAGAGACAGTGATTTGATTTGTTGATTCGGATCACTGTCCCCAATTCAATTCCGCCAAATCCAAATCTGAAGATTCAATGTGGATTCGGAGAATCAGCAATTCAGCCATAAACACAGCTTTAAATGTTTTTTCTACATATATCAAGGTACCAGATATGGCTTGTGAACACTGTGACGCTGGGGCAGATGGAGCATCCCACAGGAGTGCAGGGGGGCGCCCTAAATGCTTGGCAGCAAACCCAGAAGTGGACCAGAAACTTCCAGTCCACTTCCAGGTCTGCCTGGGAGGATGCAAGGGGGCCCCCCTGCACCCCCCACCGGCTCAGCAATCGGCTGCAGGGGGATCCTGGGTGCCCCCCACAGACCCAGGAGGCACCAGTCGCCAAGCCAAAGAGGCTGGGGCGGGGGGGGGG